TTATACTATATAGAAAATTACTTATAAGTATTAATTTATTTTATAGTTTAAATAGAAGTTCTATTAAATTTAATATCTATATATTTTATAAAATTACTTTCTTTTCTATTTTCTCTCTTTTATTAATTAGCCTTTTTATATGAAAGGAGAGAAATTTAATATTAATATTATTCTCTTAAAACTATTACTAATATTTAGTTATGTTTTAGATTGTAATAGTAAATCTATTAACATTTTGATTTATTTTATATTTAAACAGTTCTTTTTCATTTAAAAACTTAGTTTTTAAAAGTTTATAATATATAAAAGATTTTATAATAAGTTTTATTTTTAAAATAAAACCTAAAAGTCTTTCTTATATTTTTATTTTTGATTATAAAAAGCTATAAAGTTTCTAAATAAACTTCTAAATAGTTAAATAGATTTTAAAAAATATATCAATATAAATATCTACTCTTAGATTTAAATAGGTTTTATAAAATAACTTATTATATATAAATAATAAAATAACCTTTACATTCTAAATTAATTAGTTTTTTTAATTTTTACTCTTTAAGCGTTTTAAACTAAATATTTAAAAGCTTTTTAGCTAAAGTATTCAGTTTGTAAATACTAAAAATAAATATCATTTTTATATATAAGTTTAAAATTATAAAACAGTTACTCTTCAGAGGTTATTATAACTGATTAAGTAGTGTTTATAACTCTTAAATAGCTTATATTAAGTTAGGTTTATAATAAAAATAAAACAGAATAAATAAAAATAAACTTATATTTAAAAATTAAAATATTCTTAACATATATAAATATCTAAAATAGAGTTCTAACCTCTTTATAGTAGATCTTATTAATATACTTATTTAACCAAACATTTATATTTTTAAAAAATAATTTTAAAACAATATTAATTCTATATCCTTTAATATAAAACACATTTCTAAAAATAAGATCTTCTATTTATTTTCTCATAAGTTTATAAAAAAAGCTTTATAAAAAACCTTCATATTTACTCTATAAACTATAAAAACTTAATTTTCTATAATAACTTTTTTAAGCTTTTTAAATAATTTATAATTTTATAAATAGCCTAAATTATTAATAATATAGTTTAAAGTTATAATATTATAAACTATAGAAAATTATAAAAAACTATTATTATTTTTATTTATATTAAAAATCAATTTAAATCTTTCTCTAAACTTCTTAAAAGTAATTAAATCTATATATAGTAAAATAACTATAATAGTAACTATATTAATATAATATAACATATTTTTAATAATATATTCTTTTATTTTCATAATATTTTCTAATTTAAACTATGTTTTATATATAAAATCTTAATCAATTAATTTCTATTTCTTTAAGAATATGTTAATTTTAACATTATTTTCAATTTTAATAATAACGTTTAAAACTAACCAGTAAAATATCTTACTAGTTAATATAAATTTAATTTTTCTATAATCTTTAAGAAACTAAATATATTATAAAGATTAGTTTCTGCTAACAAATTTCTAATATAAATATTTTTTAATATTTCTAAAGGATATTTCTAAAAATATTTCTAAACTTTTAAAACTTTTTATTTTTAAGCTTTAGCTTTTTAGATGTAAATCTTTTTAAGGTTAAGTTTAAAGCTTATAAATTATGAAATTTACTACTAATTATTATTAATACTCTATTAATCTTAAGCTTTTTCTGTTAAGAGTTTAAATAGAAAATCTTGATAAAAATCTGTTTATAATATTAAAGTTTAAAAAATAGTTAAAAACACTTTTTATAAATAATAAGATTTTAAATTATAAATTATATCTAATTAGAAGTAATTTAAACCTTAATAACTTAAAAATATACTTAACTATAAATGCGCTTTAAATATTAAGAATTCTATAAATTAATATTCAATAATAATAATTAAACTATTAATTATAGAAATCTATTAAGCTAATATTTAAATAAATAGCTTTATAAAAATACTAAAATAGTTTTTCTTTATAATAGCTTATGTAGCTAAATTACGTTTTATAAGTTTATTTTTAAATAATCTAACTATTATTTAAAAAGAAAATAATCTACTATTTTTAATATCTAAAATAGTCTAGCTCATAAGTTTTTATAAATACACAAATACTAAAATAGAATTTATATTATCGTTTAATTTAGAAATATCTAAAATATATAATTAAAAAAAATAAAGCTTTAAGTTTTAAAATAAGCTTAAATGAAATATAGTTTTTATTAAGTTTATTTAAAATCTAAAACTTAACTATATTTATAAACTTCTTATTAATATTTATAAAAAGTTAGTTTGAAATATATTTTAAAAGCTAGTTTTTAGTTTTCTAATTATCTTAAGTTTTCATTATTAAAATTGAAAAGTATTTAATAAATATTCTATATTTAATTTAAAAAAAAGAGCATTTTTAAGTATAATAAATATTAATTTAGTTAGTTTAAAAAGAAATTAAATATACATAAATATAGAAATATATATAAATATAGGAGAATTCATAAATATAAAAGCTTGTATAAATATAAAAATAATAAAAACTTATAAAACTTTATTTTTATTAGTTTCTTATTGTTATTAAAAATTAGCTATTTTTACTTATTTTTCTTTTTAAACCTTATTTCCTTTTTATTTCTTAAGATCTGTATTATAAATATCCTATTTCGTTTTATTAAATATATTAGTATAATCCTTAAAAAATATTACTCTATTTATATTTCTAAAAATAAATCTATTAAGCTTATTAAAATTAACTAAATTTTAAATATTATATATAATATATATAACTTCAAAATAATTAAATCAAACTAATTAGGTTTTATAAATTTTTAGTTTAATTTATGTATTTTTAAAATAAAAATCTATTTTAAAAGTTTAAAAAACAAGATATTTTATAAAATATGAAGAATAATTATACATAAATAGAAGTATAAAAAGAGAAAAAAAAGACCTACTTATTCTATAAAATATTCTAATAATAATAAGAAACTAAAAATAAAATTCTAATAAATTAAATTTATAATTATTAAAAACTAATAGTTAGAGGAAACTAAAAAGTTTATAAAAATATATATATTATTTAAGAGGAAGTTACTCTCTTAAGTATCCTTAAATTATAAACTTGTAAAGCTTATACTAGTTATATAGCTTACTCCCTTAGTAAGGCTCACTAAGGGGGCTATATGAGGCAGAAGATGTATCGCGAGATAAACCGTCACACACAGACATTTTTGCTTATCTCCAGCGGGCGGTCTAATTTGAGTGGAAACTCTGAGATGAGAGGGCAGAAAAGCAAGATTGCACCGACGACCGAGGAAAATCGACCATCAGGCCATGGGTTAGGAGGTTGGGCAGCGATGGTGTCGCTTCGCCGGGGTCTAAGCCAGCCTACGTACATCGACAGCAGAAGAAGAAAAATTTTCAACTTTGTGGAATGCCAGATTTGGCCTTTCTCACTCTAGAGAAGACGTTCTTCGGATTTCGAAGACACCGGACACAAACAACCCACGTCGGACCATTCGGGGCCTTTCCTCAAAGCTTTTGCTGCACGGCGCTTGGAGCAGCCAACCATGCCCATGCTCCCTCCAGCCCAGGCTATCTAATTATGCCGCAGCCTGATCTAGTCCAGACAGTGACAGACTTCAGACAGAAGAGGAGGGCCTCCTGGACTGTCAGCTTTTTCCATTTTTCACTGCAAAAACAGCCCCCAAAGCTGAAGAAGACTGGGCGCCGAGCAGCCACAGGCTCAAGGCTGCATAAACGCGCGTTGCTGCTTCGTAATGAAAGCAGGCTGGCACGCACTCCGGGTTTCTGGTACGATTTGCACTTGCTTCCCGTTGCGCGCATGACGAAGCAAGATGACACTATCAACGGCGCTTAATTTGGGAGGCGTAAAATGCCACTGTCATGAAGCAAAGGGTTCACCACGGACACAACCAAGTACACACACCTGGAGGCCGCAGTAATAGGCCGAAACAGAGCGGCAGTCCGTCAATCATCGCCCTGGCGAATGCGCCCTGCAGTTGTCGTCAGGCCCAATCATTCCGTGTTGTTCGCCACCGGGGCACTGCTCTCGCGCAGCAGAAGCTCTGTCATTCGCCGGGACGTTGGTCCGGGTCGAAGTTGACAAAGTTACTGAGGCATCGGCAGGACTTTTCCAGCAAGAGTTTCCTTTCCAGGCTGGCGGGTCCACCATGCAACACCACCCTTTCTGCTGCACCTGCACCATCAAACAACAACGCTCTTCCCTGCTTCTTCGGTGATCCAGGACGTTAACAAACAGAGACTAACCACCTTTGCCCTCATCCTGTGCCCAACGGTCCCTGCATCCAGTGGCCTGGGATATGACAAAGCTGCCCAAGGACTCCCAGCAGCAAGGCGACACCCTTCTTCCTCACGGTCAGCCCCAGGTTCCAAGGTTCATGGTCCGAGGTCCAAGGGGGCTCCATGATGCTACCCGCCCCCACTGCCTGTCCACCTTCACCCGTCCGTCGCCGAGCGCCAGCGACCACCACATCCTGTCTCCTGGCCACTTTTCCACTTGGTGCTCAGCCGCGTACACGGCTGCAAGACTTTCCCCAGGGCTGTCTTTCTCCCGGCCTGGCCTGGCATGGTCCGGATGCATGGCATGGCCAGGCAAGCAACCCAGATGGGTCCCGTCTGCTGTACCCACGACCAGCTTGACCCTGGCTCCGGCAAGTGCTGATGGCTATGCCCCCGTACCAGTGTACTTGATAGAGGCATCCCATCCCATCCCACATCAAGTGTGTTTGCAAACAGTCCTCCTCTTCCAAGTATATATCTATCCTGCCCTCGGCCTCTCTCCTCTTCCTGCTCTTGTTTCTCACCAAGCAAGTAACCAAACATCTGTCCACACAAAGCCATCTTCCTCAACTGAGTCTTCATCCTCTCTCATCTCGACCAAGTCACCGTTCTCGAGACCAACCTCAACACCACACCTTACAAACAAAACCTCACATCACACAAAATGTCTTCCAGACCAGTCATCATCCACCAGGCCGCTCCCTCCATCAGCAGCGCCTACACCGCGTCCTCGGGCTCTTACCCATCCTCCAACGGCTCTTACACCCCTCGCTCGCTCTCACCAGCCGACCCCGTCTACCACCGCGTCCACGGCGCCGAGAACCACATGTCCTCGAGCAAGGTCTCATCCAAGAGAGTCACGGTGGTCAACCGCAACCAGTCTGGCTACGAGCACGGCGCCCCGTCACCAAACTACGGCGGCACCTTCCGTCGATCCTGAGCCATCGACATCGATACCACATCACCGTTCATCATCATCATAACCTTTTTGTTTTGCATACATTGGCGTTAAGGGACTAGGGCATCAGGGGGCATCGGCGGCAGCGACAACATATGTACGGCATACTTGTATCATTTATGGAATATCGGAGAAATATTTGGAGATTTTTTACGGGCAAGGATGATAATGCGAGATGCACGCGGAGGGGCCCAAGACGACGGGGCCACAGGGCATGAGGGAGGCACGGGATTGATTACTTGCAGATTGTTGTACCATCATAGCATAGCAGTGTGTATATGTGCCTGTTTAGATTAGATTGGGGCTCGCGGGCGATGCATTGGCAGCCAACAGCGTCTTCTTCAACAACACCTGGTTTCAAACAAATCATTGTTTTTTCCCCCCATTGCTCAACCTCCTTCCCCTTTCGGTGTCCCATAATTATGTTTTGCAGTTACTATTTTCGAAAGTGAATGCCTGTCCGTCGTGTAAATGACTTGCTCCGTTCTTTTTCTCGTCCCGTGCCTGTTTGACGTGCAGAATCCGGCTGCTGCAAAACATGTCCTCCGCCCCGTGGACCCTTGAGGTCTCAGTGGTCCCCTTCCTTGTTTTCCCTGCCAGTGAGCAAGCAGCGATAAATGCCCCGAGGAGCTGGGTATGTACGGGCGCTGCAACGCTGGGCGGCCGGGTGGCCGGTGATTCGCTGCGGCGGTTGGATGCCCTGCATTACCGCAGTATGGTACTTTCATGCAAGGGCAGATGGCAGCTATGAGTGCTGGAGTGGCTTTGAGAGAGGAGAGACACCACCACGCCAGGCCTGGGCCCGCTGACCTGGCAGGCAGGGAACAACAGCTCCGAAGTGCAGCAGAGCATTGGGATAGATGGACTGGCTCTGTAATTCGGAGCAAGGCGATGAGGTCATGCGAATCCGACAGGGGCTCGCTCACATGTAAACGACCCTAGAACGGGAGTGTTCCAAGAATAGACGGATGGGGATGGGTACGACGGGATGGGATGGGGACCCTGAAATGTCATCGCATCTTGATTGTATGCATCATGGTAGCATTTACGATAGGGCTGATGGAGACGATGGCGCGAGTATGTTTGTTCGTGATTGAGTGCAGTGATTATTGTTTTTTGTGATATTTTGGGAAACAAGTAGATCAGTTAGCTAAGGATACCCATCTGCAAGGAAAAAGACGTCCCGCATTGCCTGGTTCCAGCGTCAATTCGACCTGTTTTTGGGTGTGATTCGGTTTGGATGTTTATTCATATCTCATCAAGGAAAACAAGGGACCCGTCCGCCTCCACATGTAAACTGCAAAGTGCGATTGATCCTACATCGTATTGCAAGTCATCCGCAGCGGCTCGTTGACGTCGCATCGCAATCGCAAGAGTGCCGGGTTCACTTCTCCACAATCAATTCCGTCCGCCCCAATTCATGGGGAGCATGATGAGGCTGTGAATGGGACGTTTTTAAGCACCACCCTCGCGCTTGGCGTACTCGTCCTCGATGGCCTCGGCGTACTTATCGTCAGCGGTGCGCGGGTCCTCCTTGAGCACGCCCTCCTTGACGAGCTCCTGGGGATCGGGACGGTGGGAGAGCTTGTCGTTGAGGGAGTCTGCGCGCATGTGCATCTCGAGCTCCTTCTGGTTGGCGATCAAAGACGGCGCGGCGTTGGATGCGGGAAGGATGTTCTCTGCGAGGCGGGTTCTGGTCAGTCTCACTGTGGTCACGATGCTCAAGGGTTTGCCAGTTGGGGATATCATGGGGTGATGTTCATGATGCGCCGGCGGGTGGATGCTCTGGGTTTAGTGGTTGGGATCGGCGGGTGAGGCGGGCAGACGGGTGGTGGGGTTTGGAGGGAAGAGTGGTTGCAGGGGTCCGATGGTAGTTCGAAAAAGGGGAAAACAGGGAAGTGAGGCCGTGAGGCAAAGGAGGCGAATTGCGAGGGATTGGGTGAGGGGCGAGACTCACTCTCGACGAGTTCCGCCCGGTCGGGACGGTGTTGGAGGTGTGCCTCAAGGGAGTTCTTGCGGTCGCCGCGAGAGGGCGAGATGGGGGTCTCGTCGACGGCGGGTTGCTGCGTGTTGTTGGTGCTGTCTTCGGCCATGGTGGATTGGTGCTTTGCCGGGGTAGTTATGATGGCTCTTGGTTGTTTGGACCTTTGGTTCTGGGTTCGTATCTGCGGTCGAATGGGGCGAACTGTCGCTTGGTCGAGGGATGTCTCGCCTTGTTTTTCAGTGGTATTGAGATGTGCAAAAGCTTCTTCCGCCTTGCTTTCGTGGACTGGACAAGCTGTATGATTCAGGATATCCGGTTGGTTGCAAGTGCAAGTTTGGTTCGCGATGGGTATGGGTTGTAGTGTCGATGTTGTTGATGTAGGCGGGAGGAGAGAGGGGCTGAATGGGAGGTGGTGGTGTTTTGTACTCGTTCGGACGTCAGCCACCTCGCTTCAGTCTGGAAAGCAACAATCAAGCCAGCAAGTAAAGCAGGCAGGTTGGTATGGCAATGGGCGCTTGCTGGCTCAGGCACAAGGCACATGGGACGGAGAGCTTCGATAGGTAGAAGCCAGTCCAGCAGGTTGAGAATGTGGTCTGTCACTCACTTCGCTGGGGGTCGGGAGACACTTTCGCGCAGAGAAGGGAAGCTGTTTGGCCGCAGCTGCTGCATAAGACCTGGTTCTACCCCGCCCGTGACCCTTGAGCCTGGGGAAAGCGCACCCGTGCAGGCAGTGACTGCCCCTCCCTATTGCATCACCACACGGCAAGCAGTGCCTGCCTCTAGTGCCTGCCCTGCCCGGTCCCTGCCCGAAGCTGCACTTTGTGCCTGAGGATCCTGAGCTCCATGATTGGGGGAAGTTGTCATGGCAAGCTCTCATTTGCTGAACTTTCTCCATGGGATGTGTTTGTTTGCCATTTGCATCTGATGTTGCAGCTCCATCACTTCGGAGACGTCGGCTGCTTTGATACCGTCTGGTAAATGCCTTTATCGATTTAAACGACCGTTGATGCCGCTGCATGGAAAGCTCAGAAACATCCAATGCGACAGCTGCCAAAGCTCTCGGCCCGCGCGCCCCCTGATGACTCTGATGACGGATGACGTCTGGCGCACGGGAGACCCCCAAAAGCCACACACGCCTAAGGAACCACGGAACCTAGCTCGCCCACGCCAATCTCGTTCCTCCACCCGTCATGCCACCAAGCTCGCCTCAACCCAGCTGCAGGACCCTGGGAGAAACCACAGACGCGCAGCCTCGGTGATGGGATCATGAGGACCGAATTGCCCCTTCACTTTGCGCTGCGCTACCCATCCCCTGGCTGCCTCGTCTCATGACCGCACCAGTCCAATGCCGATGGCCGTCACGACAACCACCCCGGCCGCGATGGTTCCGCCTCTGCGAGTGTCATCATGTCAGCGAGCCCGGTCTCATTTCGCTAGCCAAGCTACTCACAACTTCGGCCCTTTTGCTTGCCAAATGGCCACGGCGTCCCAGACGCAGAGAATCGTACCAGCGAGGATCACCGTTCCCATCTCCGGACCCTTGCCCTGCCGCGCGAGTGCGAACAGCGCTGCTGCGATTGCCAGGTCCCGTACACCGAGGAGCGGCACCAGTCGCCCTACCGCGTCCGACGGCGGGAGCCCGAAGAATTCATACCCCGCCCGGTACGGGAGGAGGACGTCCAATGCCCCGAGGGCCGCGTAGCTTGCTGCGACAGACAGGCCAAGAGTCCGCCACGTCGATGCTTGGAGGGACGCCATGGTGAATGATGCTTCAACTGTGTTTTGCTTACTTCTGTGATGCTGTGATCCAGGGAAACTTGGTTGCTTACGGATAATCTGACAGACAAGCTTCTGCTGACTTTCCATCAGGCTGTCATCCAGCTCTATCTGAACCGCTACTGATGATGCAGCCGCCTGTGGCCAATGACAGATGCAGCAAGATGCGCGACAAATCCGTTCATCTTGGCTACCAATGGGGGTGCTTCGCTTTCCCACTGATCCCAACCGCTAGCCTGATTGTCAGCTTTCAACATCCACAGCCAAGTGGGCGCATGACCGGCGAGCCGATTCTTGAGAGCGAGACAACATGAGGCTTCTTCACACCACGACGCTCGATCTCAATGAGTTCATCGGCGACGTTCCTCCATACGCCATCCTCTCTCACACCTGGGAAAATGACGAAGTGAGTCTCCAGGACTTGTCAACCACTGCTGGGCGGTCCAAAAAAGGGTTCAAGAAGATTGAGGCATGCTGTGCACAGGCCCGTCGCGACGGTTTTGACTGGGCTTGGCTAGACACGTGCTGCATTGACAAGACATCGAGCGCCGAGCTCTCCGAGGCCATCAACTCCATGTTTCGATGGTATCGGCAGGCCAGAGTTTGCTACGTCTACCTGAGCGATTTACCATCTCAATATCCGGGGGATGTCGATCGCCGACAATTTCATAGTGTCAAATGGTTTACCCGAGGATGGACTCTTCAAGAGCTTATAGCTCCCAGGGCTATGGAATTTTACGACCAGAACTGGGAAGAAATCGGCACCAAGGTGTCTTTGCTCGACTTGCTACACGACAAGACGGGTATTCGGCGCGACATATTAGACGGAACAACCATCCATACCGTTATTCCCACCGGAGAACGTATGTCTTGGGCTTCAAATAGGAAAACCACCAGGCAGGAGGACCTTGCTTATTGTCTCCTGGGCATCTTCGGCATACATATGCCTCTGCTCTACGGAGAAGGCTCGCAGTCGTTCATCCGCCTTCAGCAGGAGATTCTCCGCACATCAGAGGACCTCAGCATTCTGCTGTGGACAGGCTTTTCCCGACAGACGACCACATGCGGCGTTCTGGCAACGGCACCCAGTGCTTTCAAGGATATCAAGATGGTCGATCTCCAGGGCCACAGAGTTGGTTTTCTAGTGACTTGGAGGTGGAAATACGTGATCACGTTACAGCCTTGGTCGGCGGACATCAGTTGGCGCCGTGATATGCTCCTAAATACGCCCCCCACCATCACTAGCCGCGGTTTACATGTCCAACTGCCGAGAACCCTGGTCAACGGAGGACGTAGGTGCTTATTGTGGCCAAAGTGCATGATTGTGGAAAGTTTCGATGGCGCCCGAGGATTGCTGAATGGATTTCTCTGCATTGAGGTGCAGAATGTCCAACCCAATATTAATTTGTCAGTGTCCAGACTGAGCTTGCCCTACATCTACTACGTCCCACGGGCCGAAATCTGCTTTGACGACCCGCTTCCGATGTACTTGAAGATATCGCACCAACAAGTCGAAGAGGATTTCAGGGGACTGGACATGTTCACCGTCTCGCTGGAGGACAACGATCCGTTACGGATTGGAATTTGCAGGTCAACAATCCCGCCCGGCACTTTCCTAGGACTGGAGGCAGAGGATGATGGGCTCGACGTTTTCAGGCTCCCCGAGTCGCACGCGCACCAAGTCGTTCTGCAATGTTCGGTGACGCACCGTGAGTCCCCTCATATTTACAGCAGCAAGGTCACCGTTGCCGTCAAAGAAGTTCCGGGAGAAGACCGCCTGGGCTGCTTCATCAATACAAACGAGGATGCTCAAGCTTCGATTTGGGAGATGATTAGCTCCCATTCTACAGGAATCGACAACGATATTTCTCAGAATGGTCTCCAGACCGAGGATGAGGCTCGGAGATGGTCGTCGGTTTCCCAGTTGGTCGGCGCGGGTCCGTGGTCGGACCGGTGCGCAAAGAAACTCCCAGGTGACCAGTATGTACTGATGGCTGCCATTAAGATGTCAAGAGGCATCCCGGTGCTTGTCCTTAGGATCAAATCGCTTTCTCGCAGATGATAGTGGTTCTCAGATCACGGCAGTAGGCATTAAGCAGTCTCGTCGCAAGTAAACATCTATTTCTGCATGTGACGCTGGGCTAATGGTTAACCGCTCCATCATTCGTAATAATCCGCGCTCTAAACAACCCATTCCTTTTTTAAACTAGACCAAGCGACTGCATCTAAGGCGACTCGGAACTGGATGACTCGGGCTCAACGTCAAAATCCCCGAGATCTTCCTCAAGCCCCGTGTTCGTTTGAGGCTGGGCTATCGAAGACACTGTCTGCAGTGGTTCGTGAGGCAGAGAAAGGGTTTGTTGTCCCTCAGACAATAGGATAGAGCTGGGATGGGGGAGGGGCATGCTTTGTCTACTCTGCGGCCAAGATGGCCAGCTATCTCTGGGGGGGTCTTCCGGTCGTGTGTCGTGCTCCAATGGAGTGTTTTGCGTGAGGTCTTCGAATGCAGAGCTTGCATGGAAGCTAGGATCGGCAAGGTCATCGTCGGCACTAGACTGAGGGGTGACTGAGTCATCGTTGAGTATATTCTCAGATGAAGATCCATGAATTCGCTCCGGCACCGAGGGGCTAGCTGAACTCCCGTCATTTGAGGGATGTGGCGAGCGGTCTATCTCCATGGACTTACCGTCAAGTTCGTCTCTCCAGATGGTCTCTGGCCTCAGTTGAGGCAGATCTGACGGTACTGTAAAATCATTACTCGAGGAGGCATGTGCCTGAACTGTAGGCACTGCTGAAGTAGCCCCAGGAATATTGCGTGGCGGGATATTACCCTGAGTTGGTTGAACGGAAGGGCCCCCTCGGAGAGCACCGCTGTTCCTAGGTGATTGATGTTAGTCAATCAATGGCCGCAAGCTTGGAAGTGACACATACTGTGCACTATCCTCGCGGCTTCGGAAACCTGTTTGATTTCTCGCGCGCGGAGAACGAGATCTTGAAACAGAATGAGGTGGTGGAGGCGTAGAACACATCTGTGAACCGTCCTGGCGTTGCTGTGTTTGGGTCGGCTGTTGTGCATCTCCTGTTCCCGAGCGGCTGGTGCCGTCGACCGTAACGTCAACGTCAGGAGTCCAGTCCATAGCGTCCTGTGAAGTCCCCGGCGGGTTCGGCGCAGGTGTCTCCTGTGCTGCATTATTTTGGGCCGGGGGGATCGGTACGTTGTCATTTGTGGTGGCACGAGTCGATGTGTGAGCACCAGCAAAGGTCGGTAGCTCGGAAGAAGAGCCACGGCATGCTAGCTGGGGCGCCTCCGAAGGCCTACTCTCGCCCGTCTGTCCGATAATTGACGTTTGGAGAGGGGGAAACTGGCCTGCATCACTGCTGAAGCTCGACGGAGACGTCAGACGTGCTGGCCGGGGAGGGCCAGGAGGTCTGAGGCCCGCTGGATCGGGAGTTGATCTCTGAGGAAGAAGAAGCACAGGAGATTGATTGCTCAAGCTGGGAGATCTGGTCGTGCCGTTCAGAAGTGGAGATGACTTCATCATAGGTGCAAGCCGAAATGTTCGACCCTGAGCTATCGGTGGCGACGACCGAAGAACTGCTACAGGCGAACCAGGAAGTCTGCTGTTCGGTAGCTCGGAACTTGATCTTGCTGGAGGAGAAGACGAAGCAGGCTGGTACCTAAGGACCTCAGCGTATGACAATCGAACGGGCCGTGGTGCAGCGAGAGGTTCACTCGCGCCCGTTTGCTGGGAGGTGGATTGTTGAGCATCGACTGGAGCTGGCGAACCCTCCAAGTCGGAGGACGAGGTAAGCTGATGTGACTGAGAAGAATCAGGCGGCCCATTCGTGCCATCCAGTTCGGAGCTGGAGGCGCCAGGAGACATTTTGAGATGTTCTTCTGTCAATAAAACGAGATGATGCTGATGCGGTATGGAGAATGTCAGGGGAAATAATGTGGTGACGCAGCGTTGGTTAGAGTTGTTGATGCTTTGGCGAAGACTTGCTGATGTTCGTTGAGGACTTGTTGACGTTTGGGGGGGATGAAGAATGACGTTGAAAATGGGCAAGTAATAGTCACGCGCTCAAGATAGATGCCGTCCTTCGAGGCACCAATAGTTCTTTCCCCGATGTCGACTTGTGAAGCCGGGACTGCCTTCCCACATCGAGTCTCAAAGACCAAACGCAGGAGGAGCCATGCAGCTTTTGGGATGAGAATCACTTTCACTTGAAGGAAACCCAAGTTCATCGTAGTTGCCATAATCATATCATTTCTCCATCATCTACTTCCTAGCTAGAACATCTTTGATCCGAGCAGTTTCCTCTTCATGGCCGACGGCCATAACCGGCTGCCGCGACTCGTCGCGAATGAACCCGTACCTTATCCTCAACTTCTTCAGCTCATTGGTCAGTTCCGAGCCATCCAGCCAAGTTGTACTTGACGGCAGATCAATGTACTTCGAGTTCCGGATCGTCGTAGAGACGTAGCCGAGAATCTCAGGGCCGTGGGTCAAGTGGATGAACACGACGCTGAGAATGCCTCCCGCAAGAAGAACGACGGCAGACAGCAAGCAAAGTGATATCCACAGCTTTGAGATGACGAATGTCTCCAGCAGGGTCGATGATTCCCCGGTGAAGGTGACGTTGGGCTGGAAAACGGCATCCGCTTCGGCGCTGGTGTTGGCAATCGTGCTGGAAACTTGGCTAAGGGTCAGATACGTGTTAAGCAGCTGTCCAAAGCGTGCGCCGACTTTCGAGGTGTCGAGCTCGTCCATCAAGACTGCCGTGCCAGAAGAGATGTTTTCGTAGGTCGGGTCTTTGAGATAGTACAAAGTCGGATCGATGAAGCCAGTCATATCTCGGCCTGTGGCAACGGGCATCTCTCCGGCGAAGAAGTCGAACGATCGAGGGAAAGATAGTTGGGTGATTTGCTCGGGCGCATGGGTCTTTTGTGACAATCGCTGCTCGATGACTCGGCAAGATCGCTGGCCCGCTAGAAACGAGCAGCTGACGCGAGATTCAACGTACTTCTGGGTGATGTCGCAACTGATCTCTAGGTTGTCGCGATTCTTCTTGGTGATTTGAGGTTGCGCCAGAGCCATTCGGAGCAGAAATTTCGTCGGACCTGCGTCGATTCCGGTTTCGTTGGAGAACATAGCCAGGCTGCCAGCATCCTGATATGCTGGCACCCAGTCCCATCCCTGTCCCTCCTTTCCATGGGTTATCCAGTACAGGTCAACGAACCTGTCGATAGCAATTCCCCATTGAGTTGAGGTGTAGCCTCCGGACCCTCGTTGGTAGTCGTATCCTCGCCATGTTCCATTAGGGTATTCCTCCGTCATGTAATCTGTCGTCACGTTGGCCTTGGCCGTTCTGTTTGCGGTGCCCTTAGCAATATCCGAAGCGGGGAACTTAGTAGCGTTTGGGCACACGAGGCGGATGTAACTCGACTCCAGAGAGAAAGTTGCGTTTCCAGTTCCAGCATAGTGGACTGGAACACCTGCCAAGGACGAGTACTCGACTCTCGAGGTGCTAATCACTACAGTCCGGATTGAACCGTTCGTGTCTCATTTTGGGACAGTCCCAGGAAAAACACCAGACTGGCTTCAAGCCTGTTGACTTTGCAGCCATTGTGATGTTGCAGGTTTGTAATATGCAGGCTGAATTGGCAAGGAATCTCTTCAATTCGAACTCCAAAATAAAATCACACCGTTTTTAAAATTCGCATGTCATTAATAGGGGGCTTAGAGGCCCAGTCTCAAATTTTGATTTCTTCGATTGTACGCGAGTTCGATGATTGATTAGCAAATATCAACGTAGGACTGGCCGAAGCCAAAGAACTAAGACGTCTTGACAGCTTGAGATATTCTATAAACCTCGTAATGACTCAAAATACCCGTAACATGTTAAAGCACGCCGGTGCTTATCAACCAGGGAAGCCCGATAAAGACCCAAGCCATCATGAAAATGGCAAGCGGTGCCGCTGCAACCGAGCTGAAACTTTCGAGCAGCTCAAGAACATAAACCACGAGAGGTTTCATGATCCATAACAACGATTTGATCGGCTTGTAAATGAAAGTCACAAAGACCATTCTTAGACACCGAACCCAAAATCGCTCGTCTGTGGCAGGTGGTTCTTGCCCTGGCTGTCCGGTAGGTCCTGCCGCATGCTGGGATTCGCTGGTAGTTTCATTCCCTTTGAAGGTCATGACATTAGTCTTGGTTCCGGGTGGATATGAAGCAGTCGAAGGCGGGAAGATACCGGGCAATCGTGCATCTCGCTGCCACCGTGGGCCGGCTGGTAGGGTAAAAATCCCTCGCTCACGCCTAGAGCCCTGCACATCGTGAGTCCGGCCTTTTGATCGGAACATGCCGATTGTACACGATTATGAGGGACGGAAAGCTTTGAACACTCGGGACTCCAAATCTTTGCAATGTTTGCTAAGGATGCTCGTGAGCGGCTGATGTGGGGAAAGCCGCACGCAGCCTGATGTTGTTTTTGAATGCCTTGCCAAGGCCCAGACGGCACTGCGGCTCGGCTGTCTAGTATGACATGCAGCCAAGCGAGACAATGCTGAAATGCCCAACTAATATCGGGTCTTTTGAGTAGGCTCAATACAGTTCGATTGCACGATGCAAACTGCAGTCAAGTGTGCTAAGAACCACGCCTGTCGTAGGATCAATAATCCAATCCCATGGAGGACTGGTGTCATTTCATTTAAATTTGGACATCGTCAAAAGCTTCCTGTTACTTCATGCGCCCCTCAAATACCAACATCCAACTTGACTGAGCCTTCTTTTACAGGCCCATGCACTTGAACTTCAACAGATTATTCTCCACAATCTCTTTCTCCATAGTCATCAGCTTTGGCATATCCCACATGCAGCTGAGCCATCTTCCACCAAGCCACTCCCTCTTCTTACTGGTAAGATAGGGAATGGAATGGGCAGCTAGCTCTGGGGTATCGGTCATCCTGACTACTCGGACGTCAGCATTTTTTGTTAAGAATAGAGATTCGAACTTTTTACACTGTAGTTTTTCGGGTAGGTTTGACGATAAATCAGTCGGAATACCACCAGGGTGGATGGAGAATGCGAGAACCCCCTACCAGTTGCACCATCAGTTTCGACCGTAAGGTATGACGCAGACTCGGGCTGCATGAGCCGTACCTGATCACCATACTCATCCTGAACAAACTCGGTGAAGCGGATGAGGGCGAACTTTGACACATGGTATGCACCTCCGCCAGCCCCCATGAAGTGCGCCGCGACTGAAGACATGTTGACAATCGTCTTGTCGCCGCCCTTGAGCATTAAAGGCAAGAATGCTTTGGTGACTCTGTATGTGCCCCAGTAGTTCACATCCCAGGCTTTCATGTACTCGTCGTCATCCGTGTCCAGCAGCAAGTTGAATGGGGCCATGTAACCGGCGTTGTTGACCAAGATGTCCAGCCGCCTCCATTCGGTTGTTAGCCTCTCCGCTGCCGCTCTTACGCTGGCCATGTCGCTGACGTCCATCTCGAGGGCAAACACTGTTGGCTCATCTCGCCCAGCGTTCTTTGCCGCTTCACGGACGGCCGTGACGGTGGAAGAGACGTCTGATCGAGCTGCTACAGCGATATGAGATGCGCCGGCTTCAGCGTAGCCAATCGCAATGGCTCTGCCCAGTCCCTTGCTAGCACCCGTGATGAGGACCGCTTTCCCGGAGCAGTCTGATGAAGTGAGTGGGTTGATCTCTGGGTACGTGTCGTGATGAATCACATCTCCGGTGAATGTGTCAACTGCAGGCTGTCAGATCGATTGAGCTAGATCGGAGACGAGGTCTAGAAGCATACCCTTGCGAGGAGGGAGACCGGTGGGCCCCGCGGGAGTGTTTTCCGCCATGAGTGGAGTCAGGTTCAGTTGAACGAGCGTTCGTTTGATCTCTGTTTCGACGTCTTCTTTCAGGAAGAAGTTGTAGATTTGGTTCAACATCTTGGCCGATTGCGAACCTTCTGCGGGCGCTAGTATCGGAATGCCGGACTTCCCCACGCGTCAGGGGCGGGAAGCGCTCGAGCTTAGCGGGCGCTTTGTATCACGCCTCAAACCAATCCGTAAGGTGGCAGACCCTTTCTTTGCAAAACGCATCTGAAATTGGGCAATGGTATTTTAAATGGAAAACGACACGAGGTTTTCATGACCGCGCTGTTGGGCTTGCTTACCACCCCAGGATGGGCGTAAGCGAGCGCATCCAGCCGCTCAGCCATTGCCAGCGAATACACTGTGGAGCTGGCCGCTGACTCTTCTTGGTCAGCGGGGCGCATATCGCTTGTGCAGAGGATGCTCATAATACCATAATCAATTGTGGCAGTCCCAATATCATCCGGTGAAAAGCGGTGAGTGCCGGGCAAGCCGGGTTGCTGCCGATCAGAGTGCATGGACTGTAACCGTGAATCCGGGGCTGGTCCGAGAAGAGCCCCACTGAATCCGGGGTTTCCTCCGAACATGCATACCGAGTGCCCATCGGCGGCTCTCAGGGTTGTATTTTGATCTCCGGCAGCTTATCAAGATTCCGCTGTTCAACGCTCTAGCTAGATGAGGCAGCTACATTCATATGCAAGTGAGACAAACACCCCACTAATCGCACGAATCCCCTTGCTGGATAACACGAGATTGCTGACCGGGGTTGCAATCCTCCGACCCTATTTGAGGCTGATATCAGCCCAGAAGAACGCGTCAATTATATCGCGGCTACACCTGCGCCACGAGAGCGTTTTCTGACATTGGAGTGCGTTAGTGGTTCGTGAGACCAAATCTCACATCAGTTGCACTCAAAACGCCAACAGCATGGCATCATCTTGGTTTGCCAAGGCCGTCTCACGCCTCTTGTGTTCCGTGTATGCAGCTTCATTCTGCCGCGAGCCTTCAACTTACAATTTCCCGCCCCTTCTAGACGCAACTCTAGATGATCTACGCCAAGGGCTCGACAGCGGCCTCTTCACTAGCGTTGACTTGGTGAATGCTTACGTCGCTCGCATTGATGAGGTGAACGATGACCTCCGCGCCATCGCCGAGATCAACCCTGACGCGGTCTCCATCGCTGCTTCTTTAGACCAAGCTCGGGCGCAAGGCGGACCTCTTCTTGGACCTCTGCACGGCATCCCAGTTCTCCTGAAGGACAACATTGCGACCAACGACAAGATGAATAACACTGCTGGCTCTTTCGCGCTCGTCGGCGCAAGAGTCGGCGAAGATAGTGCTGTGGCGTCCAAGCTTCGCAGAGCCGGTGCGGTCATTCTTGGCAAGGCCACCATGGCTCAATGGGCGACTTGTCGGGGTACCAACTCCAGCGCGGGATGGTCTGCTCGAGAAGGCCAGCCGATCGGGGCATACTATCCAAACCAAGACCCGCTGGAGTCCTCCTCAGGAAGTGGTATCGCATCTTCAATCGGTCTTGCGTGGGCTTCACTTGGAACGGAGACTCTGGGATCGATTACTATGCCTTGCGATGTCTCGAATCTTGTGGGGATCAAGCCTACTCTCGGTCTGGTCTCACGGCACCTCGTCATACCAATTACTGAGCATCAGGATGTAGTTGGTCCAATGGCTCGAACAGTGAAAGATGCTGCGCATTTACTAGCAGCTATCACAGGGCCGGATCCTCGAGACAACTACACTTCAGCTATACCGTTCACAGAGACGCCAGACTACGCTGCAGCTTGTGTCGAATCAGGCCTCCAGAGGAAACGAATAGGTATTCCGAAGCATCTGTTCAAAGACACCCCTTTGCCAAACACCAACTACTCCATCTCAGTCTTCGACTCTGCAGTGGACATTCTGAGATCTGCTGGGGCTGAAATTATTGACGACGTATGGCTTCCCGTGGGTGACCATGTTACACGTCTGCTCAATCTGTCCAGCCAGGTTATGGGCGCAGACTTCCTCGTAAACCTCGAGGAATACTTTGCGAAGCTCACATACAACCCTTTCAACATCACCACGGTCGCCGAACTTCGAAACTGGACGCAAGGCGATCCACGTGAAGGCTATCCGGTACACAATACTGAAGTCTGGGACAGAGAACTTGTCAGAGGCGTTCGCAACACTGATCCCCTCTTCTGGGAGCTTTACACCGAGAGACAGTATCTTGCTGGTCCACTGGGGTACGCCGGGGCTTTGAAGAACCATTCGCTGGACGCCCTGGTACTTCCAACGAGATATGTCCTGGGTCCCGCCGCGCTCCTAGGCACGCCGGTTATAACTGTTCCTTTCGGACGGCACCCGGATGACACACCAATTGTGAAGGATGACTTCGGCAATCTTGATGTTCTAGCACCGAACTTGCCTTTCGGTATTGGGTTTGCTGGAGCAGCGTTCAGTGAGGAGAATTTGATAAGTATGGCATATGCTTTCGAGCAGAGGACCAAAGCTCGAACTGCGATCAAGCCATACATCCAGCCAAAAGCTGAGTTAGGGGATATTGTACAATCAAGGGAATGGCGAACGAATCGGCTGGATCTGGTGTAGAGGAAGGATCTACTCTTTGGGTGATCACCCAGGTGATCGGTAGGTCTTTACAAGAATTTGATACCAGAGGACGTGCAAAATCCCGGTATTTAAATAAGGTAAGGAAACGTAACCAATTATCAAATCCGCATATATGTATTATATCTACACACAAATGAGAAAACAAGTGCATGGGGTATCCACCAGCAACTTCAAATCCACCCAGTAAGCTTAGTCTAAAACGACTGTAAAACGATCTATAAAGCAGAACGAAGATATTGCACCACTTTGATATGACTCAGTGCCACCGAGCTCATGCCAGACGCCTTCAAAAGCGGTGGGTTATCATCAAGATATTTCAACCCTGAGACGACACTTTCTCTCAAACACTTCTTGGCCTCTCGGAGTGCAAAGTCAAATGCCGTACGCCCCTTTTCGTCTGTAGCTCTGAAGTCTGCTCCATGCTTCTTGAGAACCTGGAGTACTGCTAGGGGCTCGAATCTTGAGACGGACCCGTCAACCCAGGTTCTTACGACACTGCACACTGGTGGCAGTAACAGTTCATCCGAATCATGTGACTTAGATCCCCGGAAAACACCAAAAAGCGAAGTGCTCGACCGTTTGTTGTTTGGAAGTTGCATGGGCTGGTCGGCTGCCCCAGGACCCCCCTTTTCAAGAAGCGCTTCGTATACTGGCAATCTGTTGTACCTCCACATGCCGTGCGCCGCTCTCAACAGTTGTAGAGCTTGTTTTTGTGAGGCCTTGTTAATAAGAGTGGTCACGGAAGTGTTGATTTTGGAGACGATCTCCCGGCCTTGAGGATTGCACGGCGGGAACGCAAGCAACCCGTCACACGACAGCTGACTTAGATCCGTGACATCAAGGGATAGGATGAACTCAACGACCGCCTTCTGACCAAAGGCTGCAGCCATCCACAACGGTGTTCGTACAATACGCCTGGCCTGATCAGATTGATCTGCACTCCTCTGCGGCACGAATAACTGGTCGGGCGTGTTGATCAAAGCGCCGAGCATTCTGTCATGGGGAACTCCGAGCGTGAGCAGGAATTCAATCTCTTTCACGCAGCCAGATGTCTCGTCTCTCCCTGGCCATTGACTGGGTACAGGATCTGCAATGGAAAAGAAGGACAACAGTGAATAGCAAGGCAAGTAAGAGCCACTGAATACTTTAAACTCGGTCCAGATATCGGCAGGTTTCTGATGGAAGGTGCAGAGCATATCCGGGGTCTGAGGAGTCAGGGGTAGAGCTTTAATGTTGACCATCTCAATGATGTTCCTTCGAACACAGTCAAAGCAGATTTGACAAGCCTTTTTGGGCTGATTTGGGTACCATTTGGCAGAGAGCGCATCGACGTAGTAGTTCTTTCGTAGAAAGTCAGTGCCGAGATCAGCCGCTGCTCCCACGTCATTGGCGGCCATTTCAAGCATGTCTCGGTACAATGCGTGAAGTCTCTGAGCGGGATCGGAGGAGCTCACCGAGATTTCGCCAATGGACGCTGAAGCCCTGACGGTTCTCTCGGGCCCCTCCGGCAACATATCCTTCCAGATATCTTCATCCGGGTCCATTGTCTTGCGACAAACATCAACCATGAGCGACAAACAGGCCAGAGTTCTCTCGTCGTCACGGCCGCGAACCTCCATGTTCAGCTCGATAGCTTGCATGCAGTGAGACTTTGCATGGTCAAGGTCCGACTTGAGGGCGTACGTCTCAGCGAGCAGACGATGGACGTCGCTCGTCTGTGCTGGGTCGAGCTCTTCTCTCTTTGAAAGACGATTTAATATGAGGAGAGCTTCGTCCGCTTGGCTAAGTTGTACGAACGCAGTGGATAAGATCAGCCGGATGTTGATGTTGACATCGTCATATGCAAAACCCTCAGCTTGAGTCGTCCCATAAGATTGAAGTAAGCGAACCACCCCGCCAAGGTTCGGTTCTGCGAGTAGTATTTCGGCCTGAACTAGGCGTTGAGCGTCGAGATGGAGCACAAGACTGGGATACCTTTTGCATAGAATCTCAGCGTCTTTGCTGTTGGGGTCCGTTTCACCGAGAGCTTTAGCAAGCATCCGAATCAGACGAGGATCCTTTTCAGAACCAGGCTGGCCATCAAGCACTCTAACAAGATGTGGAATAGCCTTGGAGAATTGACTGCTCGCAATCATCTGCTCGGCGTGCTTGATTCGTCGTTGGTTGAGCTCGTCGGCGAGGCTTTGGCTGCTGATGCCCGTCGCTCTCGATGTTAACGAAGTAGCTTCTGAGATTGGCGCAGTGGATATGCTTCCAGCTCGAGTTGATGCGGTGTCAGAGAGAGATCTGGTATCGTCGCCGTTGACGTCGATTGCCCAGTCTGAGATTTGTCTGTGCCTATCTCCGTGTATGTATGGGCCGAAAGCCAGGCCGGCACTGAGCATTTCGCCAAAGTCTACCTCTATGGGAGCAACAGAGTAGGGACCTCGTCTCGTGCGGACTGTCGTGTTCCGGGACAGAGGGCTCATTGGGCCGGACAACATGGATTTTGCATCCAGGGTTGTGGCTGCGTCCTTGATGCTGCCGCACAGTCCTTGGGTAGCCATTATCATCGAGTGGGTTTCTTCGAGCATCTCCATGTCAATCTGCAGGTCTGAGTAACTCGTTTTTCTCGAAGCTGTCTCTTGCACACTTGTATCCAGGGATTCGTCTAGCTGGAGTCCGACCAGAGTGCTGCTGACGCGGGACAGACGTTCGGGAGTATTTGCTGAAGATGTCAAAGTAGTCATAGAAGCTTGACGGGCGCTGAAGGAAGTTTGTGACCCTTTCTTCGGCTCCGCCAGTGGCTCTGAGCTGCTTTGATCGGTGACATCACTGTATTCGGTCTTTTTGGATCTGGCCTGCTTCATGTATAATTCTTGGGCCATTAACTCCTGTTGATGTTCTGTTGTCGACGTCTCTAAGTCCTGCATTCGTTTGGCGAGATCTTCAACCAGCAAGGGAATCTTTGCCGTCGTAAGCGGATTATTGCTCGCAGCTGCGTTGTACCTAAATCGAATCGTCTTATTAGCGACGAAGGCCGTCTAGTCTGAAACCTGGAATAGACAAACGACTGACCCTGAATGTACTATAACTGGAAGTTGAAGTGCCCCTATACAGGTTGCAATCTGCCCTCTGAGCGCATGTATTTGGTCATCATAACGCTGAAAACGTGCGTACGTCCTCACGGAGGTCGCCCATGATCTATCGCGGTGTATCTTGATGAAGATGTTGGAAAGCCGTGTGTACGCGCGATCGCATGATTTGATCACCGGAACGAGCTCTGCGTACCGACAGATATGCTCGCCAAAAGTCCCGCTGGAGATGCAGTTCTCTAGCAACTTAAGATGAAACCTGGTAGCCTCGAGCTGCGACTCAAAGTCCTCGATTCTGTCGTCGATGCGTCGTATGTCATGATACGCGCTGCTGGCAACTTGAACTGTCTTTGAGAGAGCGACCACGAGCTGAAGCACGGCGGTGGCGCCGCCAATTACCTCCATCTTCGCATATGAGATTTATGAGATTGCGTGGGAGAAGCCATGGGCGTTTCCCTTGATAGATAATGCCCATTTGAAATACTAGGGAGAGCTGACGTGAAAGGAAGCGGGGTCGGGGGCGTGATCAGGCTGGCAAAGGGGGTTATCAGCTATCTGTTGGGAACACTCTGCTTGCATTCCAGATCAGGCTCTGTCCCGCGTTGGAGCGAACTATTGATTTTCTCTACTGCGCCGCCACACTATGCGTGCGTCAGACACGGCAGGATCTTGCGCCATTCCTCTTTCTGATCAACTGGTGACGTTCGTGGTCAAATTTAGAGGCGGCGTTCGAGAGCACTCCCAGAAGGCAGAAACTTGCGTATTTTGATGTTCTTGTGTACAGAGGCCGATGAGCATAAACAAACTTTGTCGTTGGATGAAGGAGTCTTTAGTCATGGTAGAAGTCAGGACTGACTTTCACCAAAACAAAGGAAATCGAGTTTCCGCGGGTTGGACCTCGCTCTCCGCGGACGCGTGAAGTTCATATGAATAGTGGGCTAGGGTCTCTTGAATAATGTCAGCGGCGCTCGTTGTAAGGACCCATTTTGTCCGGAGCCTTCCACTCGTACGGGGAAGCCCACCATAATAAGGTCATACTTTCTACTAATAAGAAGCTTTGGGGGCCAAATGGCAGGCCACGCCCTACTGCGTACACACTCTACATCAGTGGCCGATTGTACACTCGATAGGATCCACAATTGTAAGGCTTTCGGCATTCATGAGCTAGGTGCTGTGCCACGGTGCCTCTGACTCGCAGCCCGTTACGACTTGCGATATAGCCAAGAATCAAGTGTTAGCTCGCTGGCCTGACTCTCGAGTAATCTGCAAGAGCAATGCACCACCTTCAAGGAAATAGTGCCTTCCAAAGGCAGAGTACATTCTTCAACTACTTGGAGAGAGTACCTAGTGCAACATTCACTTATTTCTGACGGACTTAGAGTCCGCGCCGGGTTGAGGAACGGGTCTCCGGTCGTCCCGTGTGAATGATTTTCGGAAGCTTAAGTAGTGGGCTCGGGGAGATAGAATGAACCGCTTTAATATAAGAAGTTTTCAGACAACCCGTTATGGGTTGTTCCGAAGAGTACGGCAACGTCGGAATTCAAGCTGGCCTAGGAGGTCGTGGCTTAGGTCGCGAGATAACCCACTTCCCCTGATGTTAGGACTTGGCGGTTGATTGAAAGTCACGGAGCACTCCATTTGCATCAATCCTAGTCAACCACATGACATATCTATAAATATGTTCCTGTACCAAAGCCTCCTTTGCAACATTTCACTGTCGTGCTTCTTCAACACCCACAACACGCTCATTCAACCAATTCCCGCCACTGTAAAAATGCCTTCTACTCTGAAGATCGCCATCCTGGCCTTCGCCGCTTTTGTCGCCGCGGTGCCATCCTCCCCAAACAATGATGACGGTACTCTTTTCGCAGTAGAAAGTCAGTGAAAGCCCCACATCCTCTACGCTACCTCGTTGTTAACCCGATGATATGCAGAGCGATGCGAGGCACTCTATGCCAAATGCAACGAGAACAGCGACTGCTGCGGTCCCACCCCGGTTTCTTGCAACTACATTCCCATTTGCGGCGACAACCGCTGCGTGTCTTATGACCCTAACACTCCGTACAACCCCACGTGCTTCTAAACGGCTACTACATGTGGGCTCGACAATGGGACAAGGGGTTAGATAGTAAGGCCAAGCTGTTCTTAGCAAGCACTCAAATAGTGCAATAATGCATTGAACAGGCCAAAGCAACGCTTTCAGGATCTCTATATTGACCTCCAACAATATGAGACTCGACGATTGACACGCAGAATAATTTGAATGTGAAACTGATGTTGATTATGCTGACCGTTGTTCTCTTCTTCTCGGTGATGAAATGATGCCGAATTCTGTTTTTTCTCCTCTGCCCGTGAGATGCAGCAGGTGTTTGCCAACCCCGCCGATGATGGACGAGGGTACTTATGCTCCAAAGCCGTCATCATTTGTACTCGGGAAAGCGAATATTCCTACGCAAGCAAGAACATATGTTGATTATGTACATTACCGGCTGTACCCATTCCACAGGTTGACAGTTTGGAGATGCTCACAACAGTCGGGAACTAATAATGAGGCCAGAAAAATCGGATCACTTCGCATACATGGATCGGTAAGAACTCAGTCAGTCTTTCCTTCATTATTTTGAACGCCAGCCCTTCTACCTTCCAGGCCGATGACTACAAATGGAACACACTCTGACCTCGTCATGCATGCCGGACAATATTATTCTATCGTCCAGTGAAAAGAATCGGCTGCCTCACTCCAGAGAAGTAGGGTCAAAATCCTCCTTCATGTCAGGCACCCAGCCCTTTGGCCTCTCCGTACCCCGAATCGCCAGACCGTAGCCCAGCTTCTCGACCTTGCGCACCGACTGCCTCATAACCTCCATCTTTCCTCTGAAGTCCTTGGTCGGAATCTCGGGCAGAATCTCGAAGCAACTGCTCAGCTCGTGGATATCTTGCAGGATGTTACGGCCCTCAACGCCGGCGAGCTGTCCCGTTTGGGCTGTCGTGACGGTGGCGAAGCGCATCATCTCACCAAACAGGTCGAAGAGGCCGTACATGTAGTCGTTCTCGGTCAGAGGCACGTTTGCGGGGACCGCGGCCGCTGTGTCATCTGGGCTGATGAGGGTCTGGGTACGCAGGTAGTGGGTGAAGGAGAGGGCCTCGACAAGTTCCTCGAGGCAGCGAAGGGAGTAGGCGTAGCGGTAGCGGTTAATGCCCTGGATGTCGCCCTCGATTGAGGTGAGGTGGTTCTTGATCTCTTCCATGCGGGTGTTGAGTTCCTTCTGTGCGAAGTTGGGGAGTTCACCGAGCTTGTTGACTCTGTGTTGTGTCAGTGGTGCACCTGCTGGATGCGCAGGGGCGAGGGTACCTTTGGCAGGTGAAAATTCTGTCCAAGTGTTAGCCAATTCATTCTGATTCTGTTCAAACGAGAAGAAAAAATACATCTTCTTGCTCAGAGCAGTGACGTCTCTTGAGGCCTTGATGATGCGCTCTCTCCGGTCGTGGTGCTCGTCCAGCTCGTCGCGGAATTTAGAGAACATGGGTGTGAACTGCGTCACGGGTGCCGCGGGCTTCTGCTTGGCCTCATTGGACCGCATGTTTCCGTCACGATCGCGCTTAGACATCGTGAGTGTGTTGCAGCGGTTGATGAGTGCCAGTTGATAGAGTGCCCAGCGATGAAGTCGGTGATGCAGTTTGATGGTTGATGCTCAGGGTCAGAATTGATGGTGGGGTTGATTGGAGCAGAACCCCCGGGTGTGGGTCCATGCACAGTGTAATGGCGGGTGCGGGTCTCTGCAACAGCCAGGGGCTTGCCAGTTATGCCCACGTCACTCAAATTTCCCCAGTTGGGAAGGGGCTTGAAGCTTCAATAACCACGAGACATCAACAACTTGAAGCCCGGCCGTTGTAATCGAATTGTGCACGGTGTTCAATGGCAGAGTAAAAGTGTCATATCTTCTCGGAAAGACTGGGAGGATTGAAACACCGCCCAACCATGGCCGGCCTCAAGGCGCTCTTCCGGCCCGTGCCGCTCTTCGGCGCCGCCGCGCTTCTCCGCGTCGGCATGCTCTTTTATGGTCTCTGGCAGGACGCCAACTCGGCAGTCAAGTACACCGACATCGATTATTTGGTTTTCACCGATGCCGCCCGCTTCACAGCGCAGGGGCGCTCACCTTACGACCGCGAGACTTACCGCTACACGCCTCTCTTGGCGTGGATGCTCGCTCCGACCGCCTGGGATGGATGGTTCTCGTTCGGAAAGGCGGTCTTTGCTGTGGCAGATCTCCTGGCAGGATGGCTGATTGTGCGCATTCTGAAGAGTCGCGGCGTCGATGAGGGAAGGGCTCTGAAGTTTGCCAGCATCTGGCTTCTCAACCCAATGGTTGCTACAATCAGCACGAGGGGAAGCTCCGAGGGTCTGCTCGGTGTGATGGTGATGGCACTTCTATGGGCTGTTCTGGAAAAGCGGACGGCATTGGCCGGTCTTCTGCTTGGATTTGGGGTGCATTTCAAGATCTACCCGTTCATCTACGCACCGGCAATCGTCTGGTGGATGGATGATGAGACCCTGGGACGAAAGGGGGCTGAGCGTGCGAAGTCTCTTCCTGACGTCCTCGTCATCTTCTTGAACCCGGAGAGGATAAAGCTGGCCGTCGTCAGTCTTGCAACATTCATGGGTCTGAACATTGCCATGTTCGAAATGTGAGTCTTAAATGAACCTCTGCTTGGTTGCCATGCTAAGATCCTCCAGCTACGGCACCCCGTTCTTGGTGCATACCTACTTTCATCACGTCACCAGGATAGACCACAGGCATAACTTCAGCCCGTACAACATCCTTCTCTACCTCAACTCGGCACTGCCATCCACAGCGGCCATCAAGATTGAGTCTGTGGCATTCTTCCCTCAGATTCTGCTCTCGACCATACTCATCCCTCTTGTTCTGGCGAAGAAGGATCTCGCAACATCAATGATGGCGCAGACTTTTGCATTTGTTACCTTCAACAAAGTCTGTACCAGTCAGTACTTCCTCTGGTACATGGTCTTCCTCCCGCTCTACCTCCCCAACTCGGCATTTCTGAAGAGCCCGAAGCTGGGAGTGATAGCGCTGGGTCTTTGGGTTGTTTCTCAGGCTGCATGGCTGCAGCAGGGATTCCAACTCGAGTTTTTGGGATACAGTACGTTTTTCCCGGGCCTTTTTGCTTCCTCGGTGGGATTCTTCTTGGTCAACTGCTGGATCCTAGGTGTCATCATTGGTGATGGAGCAGAGGCAGCGAGCACTGTCAAGGCCATCAAGGCCAAGAGTTGATATAGCAATACATGGCAACACTGGCCTGTTCATTCTGAATAAAACTAGATTTAATTAAAGTGTGGCTCTCACCGTTGGCTTGAGTGAAACGGTCGATTCGGCCTCAATGGTTTG